AGTGGCATGGCTTTGTGGCAGAGGTGGGTTCCTACCAGTTCCGACCGGTTTTACCAAGCCGGTAGTGGCTTGGTGGCCGGGGCGCTGGAACCGGCAGCGACCCAGACCTGCCACGCCCCCGAATTGGTTCTGCTGGCAGTGCCATAGGCGCCCCATCTTGTTTTTGTCTTCTGAGCATGCACAAATTTTTTTTTATTGTACTGCGCATGCACATGCAGCGCACATTAAGTGCATGTGCACGCTGCGCATCCACAGGCAAACCAGCAGTACTGGCTGCCGGAACCCACCCCTGAGCACTACATAATACCTTCTTTTTTCATTACAACATGCATGCATTAACTTCTTTAAGACTGTCTTTCTAATCAACTTTTAAGAAATGTTACTTGTTTAAATCTCTGTTGTCCTTTTTATCCTTTTCAGCCTTAAACTTACCCATGACTCTTAGCTCAGCATTGGAATAAATGGAATCATATTTGTTTTCTGCAACACACTGATAGAGACCAGAATCTGACATGTTCAGCACACTTATAGTAAGAGTGCCATTTTCAATTTGAATTCTTTCCTACAAAAATAAAAAGCCATGCAAATAAGAACGTACATAAGCAAACAATGCCCACATTGTTGTTGACAGAACATTTATGGTATAAATTTTGTGGATTGTTGTTAACTGCCCAGAGTTTGTCTGTAAGATGGGCAACCATATAAATGATTGAATGATTGAATAAAATACATGTTAAAAGTGGTCTCTGTTTGAATGGGAAGGAAGCATTTTAAATTTTCCATCTTCTTGTGTGCCCCTAAACACTACACCTTTCCTCCATGAATTACATTGCTTGCTAATTTGCCTGGTATTGTTTTTGACGTTTAATTAGCATTGCTTGCTAATTTGCCTGGTATTGTTTTTGACCTTTAATTGGAGGGACCACTTCCAATTACACCTATCTATCCATCAACTCTTGCAGAGCAGGCACACGGTGGATCCCATCTGCAGGGGATTGCATTTGACATTTCCCAGAAGGTGGACCTTCTGTTGTGGTTCCCACATTATGAAATCTTCTCCCAAAAGTGAGAGTAGCTCCATCTCTCTCAATATTCCATAAATTTCTAAAACCTGACTATGTAATCACACTGGGGGGGGGGGGGTCCTAGAGAACCAGGATGATTTTGTGTTGGCTCCCTTGTGGTGGTTAATATGATTCTCTCCTATTTTGTTTGCTTCTTATATTGTTATATTTAATTGTTTTATACATGTGTCATATGCCACCCAGAATCATTTTTCTTGTGAGATGACCAGCTGTAAAAATTTGATAAATAAATAATGTTCACCCATACTTTTCCATTCAGTGAATAAGTCTAGATTTCATGTCCAAGTTCTCTTAATGATCATTATATGGTCCCTAATTCTGGGTCCATGCTTTACAAGTAAACGTATAATTATTTTAAACAAAGTCAATTGCATTCAGTTGTCATATTCTTTGTGAAGATAATAGTATCATCAAGGCCCTTTTAAAAATAATTTAGCTGGCACTCTGGATGTCCTTTATAGAATTATCCCCTTAGAAATGACCCATTCCAATTTTGCTTAGCTTATCATTTTGATGGGAATTCACCCTCTGGTTGCATGGCTACTATAGAAAAATCAATTAACATCTCTTCAGTAGTTTTTAGTGTTAGAGAATAGGCTATTTACTAAATATCTTCTCAGTGCTTTATTCTACCTCCAAGCTTACAACATCCTTAGAATAAATCCTCTTCTCTCACACATATTGACATATCAGTATATTTAATTCTGTTATTTCTTATCATGTGAAATTCAACCTCCCAATCTTTCTTTTGAGCTTAAAAAAAACCAGTTTAGTGAATAAATACGCACAAGACTAAAGCAATTAGCACATGAACAAAACAAGTTCAGGATATCTGAACTAGCAAAAGTAGATACAGAATAAATCTACAATAAATATTTTATTATGTTACTGATCATTTATCTTTAAGCTCCAGGAAAAGATGGTGAGAGTTTGATCATATATCCATATAATGCTAAAACCGTGGATCACCCAAGGAAATTAATTTGCATAAATTTAAAAAGTATGTTTTTCTTCATATATTTAATTTTTGACTTCAAAATATGAATTGGACATTGCATAATGGACATATTGACCTGTCTGTCTGTCTGTCTGTCTAATGTATCAAACATAATTATTTATCCAGAAATCTATACAGGGGGTGGAATATGTGTGATGCTTCCATACAACCCACAATTCCATGTTTTCAGGAATTCTGAACAACACTTAGAAGTCTCTGTAGGACAATGTAGATTAAAGGTCTCCTTCGTGCAGAAATTCATACCATTATGAAGACACTTTGGAGTAGTTTTCTTAGTTGTGTTACAATCATGTATTACATGATCCTTACTTTTTCATATGGTACATAACTATATTAGAAAAATTATTATCGAAAGATGGGCTGATGGCTTAATTTTTAAAAAACAAATCCTGATCTTTTTTTTCCTATTTAGTGCTCCACTCAAAAGAAACCAGGATCTCTTAACTTATTGTAGCAAGGGAATTTTTTAAGAGCACTAAAATAAGGGCTGAGCTTTTGGTAGAATTAACATATTTATTTGAACAAACAAATAGTTGGTGATGCATCTTATTTAGCACTATAGCTGTAGTTATGACTTATAAAATAAAAGTATCTAAAATCAAATACTGATTTTCAAATGAATCCAAATCTAATTCAAATCTTACCTCTGATGGAAGTGGTTTACCATTTTTAAACCAATTATAAGAAGGTTTTGGTTTGCCAGTTGCTTCACATTCCCAAACTAAAGTTTCATAAAGAGAAAGTTGTGTATTCTCAATGTTTTGGTTCCATTCTGGAACAGCTGTAACAATAAAAAAATATTGTAACTGTTTTAGTGTAAGTTATCCTATGGTTTTGGAAGTGTAATAAATCATAAACATAAACTGACTTTAACATACACACAATACACACACACACAATACACACACACACACACACACACACATAAAACCAGCCAGCCACATACATTTTAAGGAGGCTATTTGTATATGCAACCCCACAATTTGAACATAAAAATAGATTTTTCTTTCTGTGACTCTGATAAGATTTCTGTCCTTTTCTCAATCTACTGCATCTGATACATCCATCATTCAGGCTTTGATCTAATCATTCTAATCTGAACTACTGACCACTGAAATATTGCAAGTTTTCAAACATTATGACGATCAAAACATATTTTCCTTTTGGTTTAGTGTGTTGCATGAATTCATCTATTGTTTCAGTAAGTCATTATTAAACAAAATATGAGTTAAGAGAGAAACGAGAATCCAGACATTATACATTATACTTGTCCAGGGAAGTAGATTCAAATAGTCAAATATCTGAGTTCTTTAAAGTGATTGTTACCTTTTTATATTAACCCTTTTTTTTCCTAATCTTCAAAGATAGACAGTCTAAAATGGATTTTAAGTTTCAATTTTCCAATCATTTTAATGAGCTGAAATATGGGTGAAATGTTACTGGTTTGGACTGGTTCCCAGTAGTAAAAATGATACCAGTTCACTTGAACTGGCAGTAAAAAAAATGCTACTGGTTCAGGCAAACCGGTATTTCCAACGATCAGCTGTGACAAGTGATTTATATTAGCTAGAATTGTCAGATTTCCTGCTCTCTAGCTAATCTAAATGGCGTGGAACAGTGGATTTACCCCCCCCCCCCTGTTCTACTTACCTTTGTAGGTGTGCTTGGTAGCTGGCTCCACCTACCTGCCTAGGTGTCATCAGGTCCTATTTTTAACACACTGTGTATGCACGCTCACCTTTGCAAACTGGTAGCAAAGGTAAATTGATTTCACCCCTGAGCTGAAGCCTTTCACTCTTGATAATATCCGGTGTGAAATAAATATTTAAATATTTTTCCCCAAACATAACTAGCATTGTGCTTTTAACTAAATTGGTTTGCTCACCATATGTAAACAGTTGGCCTCGTGCAATATTGCTTCCTTGTACATTTTTTGCAATACATTCATAAAAACCTTCATCTTCCTGCTGAAAATCTGGGATCTCAAGGATTCCTTTTGATGTGCTGATTTTTCTGGCTAATGGTATACCATCAGATCTCTTCCAAGTGATGCTGGGAACAGGACTAAATGAATTCGAGATAATAGAAAATGCAGGAGCAGACACATTTAAAGCAAAATTGTTAATGCAAAATTGTGTTCTCTTGAACAGTACAATATTATCAATAGTTAACAGTGGTAGATTGGCAATTTATTTACTACCAGTTTGGGCACTCTCCCGCATGCGTTCATGTGTGTGCATGATGCTTCTGCACATGCACATAAGTGTCCTGGCAGTTGGGTGGAGCCTCCCGCCACCACTACTACTGGTTCGCCTGATCCGGGACAAACCGGGAGCAACCCACCTCTGATAGTTAAGTATTATAGAAATTATTTTGAATGAAAATTGACTTATTGATTGGCTTTAATAAATATTAGAGATAACAAATAACTGATGAACATCTTGAGGAGGAATGATTCTAGACTTTCTTGAAGAAATTCTAGTGACTGTAGAAGCCTGCTGTACTTATTTTGAGGAAGATGATCCATCTTTGACCTTGTTGCTATTCAAAATAGAAAGAAAGTGTTACTAGTTTAGCCACATCTTCCTTATTTATAGCAGCAGAGGTATTAGCAAAAGAGATGATATTATTATGACTTGATTTACCTACTGAATTTTGATGCTGTATTTTTATAGACACTGGAAAGACAATCTAGGGGGAAATTCATGTACACTATTGAACATAATCTTTTGATCCAGTTTGTGTATTGGATTTGCAAACTGATACTGGACTATGGATAGTGTGGATTGTGGCATCCATAGGGGCTGGACTTTTTCTGTCTTTATTAGATTATAACAAGAACAATCTTCTTGATGTAAAATAATATTTGGAACCCAGTTTCTGCCTAGAGTAGCTCCATGGTGAGATAGACAGCAAATACAGTCAATAATAATAACAATAATAATAAGAATGCAATAAGGCAGATGGAAATCCAAGTATTTATTCACAGGACAGTCTTCCTCCCTTCACCCACTTCATCCCCTCTCATGTGTCTCCCGCAAACCTGGAACATCAAAATTGGATGAGTAAAGATGATGATATCTTCCCATTAGATCATTTTGCACATCCGATGTGTGACCTCTAGTGTACATGCAATTCTCAGGAACTTGGGTTTGGCTTACAGTTACCATGGGTGTCATGAATTCTCCCATACCATCTGGCGCAAGCTGAAATCTCCTCAAAACTAAAAGATACACCTGCCAATCTGGGTGATGGAATTTAGCAGCTCAGGAAGGAATGCCATAATGAATAAAAGGAAGTACAGTATAGCAGGAAGAAGCCCAACTGCTTCCTAGAGCTCCTCTTAAACCAGATGCTCTCATATCCAGTTGTCTGAAAATCATTGTTCCTATAAATGAAAAGGGCCTCCCCACCCCTCTGCTTTGGGCTTGTGGCTTGTGTGAAATCTAAAACCCAGGTAGGCATATCTCCAAGAAGTGAAACCTTTTTTTCAGACCCACCCAGGCCTCAGTTTTACATGCCAGGTTAGTTGCCTTATCCACAATTAAATCATCGTCTAATTCCATAACATTTTGCCATTCAGTAACAGCCCAGGACCATAAAGAATATGAAGGCATGACTTTAGGGATATTGCCTGAGGACTGGAGGCCAGGACAAGTCTTGACTCTGGCTTCCAGTCTCCATCTGGGTAGCCAGTTCTCAGCTTCTCACCATTGGATATTGTAAACCACCCAGAATCACTCTGGATAGTGAGATGAATTTAATAAATCTATTTCTTCCTATATCATGGCAATAATAAAACTGTCTATCCTCTCTTTTACCTTTTGGTCCTCCACCCTCACTATTCCACTATTCCACTGCCATAAATCACACCCAGTTATCTCATTCTCGTATTGTGTTGTGTTGTGTTGCATCTTTCTCTTCTTCCCTACAGCAGTCCTGTAAGGTAAGTTGGGCTGAGAAAGAATGACTAGTCCAAAGTCACCCAGCTGGCGTTTGTGGCTAAGGAAGGACTAGAATTCACAGCTTCATAGTTTCTTAGGCCAGCACCTTCACCACTGTAACCAAACTAGCTTTTTTTGTGTGCTTCTTTTGGAGGTTTTTAAACATGTGTTGCATCTACTGTTATTGAATTGCCAGTGATTTGCAAAGCTTGAAATGAAATCCATAAACCTCAACTGCATTATATTCCCAGCTGCATGTTTATCTTTCCTTAAAACTTCTGAATGAGACTAATTAGCCAAAAATAGCACTGCTACAACACAATTTTCCAACTGTAGTTTTTAATATAACAATTGGAAATAAATTATTTTAGATGTTTATAAAATACATTGGGTGCTTGATTTGTGCAATTATTTTAAGTATAGAAATGGGCCTCTTGAATTTGTACTTTAAGAGCCTTAATAAAGTTTCCTATCAAAGGTTCTTCAGTAAAGTTAGTATTTGTGGCATAAGAAGAACTGTCTCATTATGAATTGCTAAAGTCTAAAACAAAGGGGAAATAAACAACAAAAAAAAGAAATAGAGACCCTCAATATTCTATATTGGAACTGGTCTTTTAAACGTGTTCATTGATTGTTTTAATTTAGGAGTAAGCTTGCCAATTCTGCAGATAATAACAAACTATTCAGGATGATGAAAACCGAAAATGATTGTGAAGTGCTTAAGAAAGATTTATTTAAGCTAGCTTATAGCAATAGCAGTTAGACTTATATACCACTTCATAAGGCTTTCAGCCCTCTCTAAGCGGTTTACAGAGTCAGCATATTGCCCCCAACAATCCGGGTCCTCATTTTACCCACCTCGGAAGGATGGAAGGCCTGAGTCAACCTTGAGCCGGTGAGATTTGAACAGCCGAACTGTTGAACTGCAGTCAGCTGAAGTAGCCTGCAGTGCTGAACTCTAACCACTGCACTACCTCGGCTCTTACATGGTCAAGCAAATTGCAAAAATTATTTAATTTAAACAAATGAAAGGTTACGGAATTTGGAGGAAAACCCACCCCACCCTCTAATTTCAGATATATACAATCACAGCATGGACTGTTTATAACTAACCAAGGAAAGGTCATACTGAATGTGCAGCAGATATAAAGAATTTCTATCTAGTAATCATTAGGAAATGGGTTATGAATCAAAGGACTAACCCTGACATGCCCTCATACATTTTTTTGGGGTGTATTGGTAACCAAAGTATTTACTAGAATGTTGATTGATATGCTTAAAAAGGATAAAATAGATCTGGAAAAAGGGCAGAAGAGGACAACAAAAAGAACAGCGGCTCAAGAGTGAGAAACAAATTAGAAAGTTTGGAACTCTTCAGCTGAGAAAAAATGATTGAAACACGATGAAATTCAAAAATGAGGAAACACGATGAAAATATATAGTATATATTTATAGTATGTATTTATATATTTATATATAGTATGATGCAAGGCAAGAAGGCAATCAACAAAGAGAGGATTTAAATTTCTCTCTCAGAATACTAGGAACTAATTGGAAGGAAATGCTGATCAGGGAAAAGAAATATTTTTTTAAAAAAATGCATAATTCTTATGGATATATTTTTACTGTAAGATGTGATGATGGCAACTAGCTTTTTGATTGATTATGTGTCATTGGGAGTCGGATGGTGACCTAGAAGTAAAGATATTCACCTTCCACTTGGAAGGTTGAGAGTTCAATCCTAGGCAGTGACAGATGTTTCTCTATCAGGGCGCAGAGAGAAAATATCTACTGTGAACTCGTCATAGGTGTCAGGAAGCACATCCAGCCAGTAAACACTGAGCTCTGTTCAGTTGCCCCAGTGCCACCCTGGTGAAAGGGTTGTAAAAAGAAAAAAAAGTTCCATCAGGTTGTTTTCGACTTTTCATGATCATAGAACATAGAGTAGTGTTCTGACCCCCCTCATTCCACACTAAAGCACACTCCGAGCCAAAGATAAGTTACTGCATTTAATTAACCTACAGACAAGTCCTTGGCAGCAAACCGGCAGAGACAAGCTTGGGCAGTAATAAACACAGATAAGGCTTGGCAGCAATCCAGCCTGCCAAGCTCATAACAATGTTCTCCGACATTCATTTCTGCATTGACTTCTGCAAGAAGGGGCGTGTGCACAAGTAGTCTTTTTATAGTCTGGAGAGGAGCCTAACGAGCACAAGCTGAGTGCAATTACCTCCTGTAACTGCGCAACTGTTCCTGACGCCTATTAGCATCCAGGAACAACTCACTACTG